GTGCCCTGGCAATCAATCTGCGGGCGGGGGACAAAAGCAGGGTGCTCCCCCATCCGGGAACTGGGGTGCGACGCAGGATCCCCTTCCCTGCCCGCTTTGTGTAACGCCCCGGCGTGTGGGGCGGCGGCGACCCGCGGCGAACGCACCCGATTTTGGCCATATTCTCAACATTATTATTCCCCATTTTTGCCGGGCCTTTTGCTCGCTGCGCGTCGGGCCAAGCTCGTTCTCCTCCTGTGAGGCATCCCCATGCCCGGGGAGGGGGGGGGACACCCGGGCGTGGGCGCCCCGGCGGGCCAATAATCATCCCCCTACCCACTCTCCCCATGGCAGAGGGGGGGGGACCGCAAATTGACTCGTCTCGGCTCTCTGCCCCCCCCCCCCCCCCCCAGCCACATTCAAAATGCCAACACGCGCGGCCCCCAGGCGAGCGTGTGCCGCCGGCGACATTCGTCATCGGCGCGAGGTCCGGGTACCTCGCCCCCCCCCCCCCCCCCGCCCTGCACCCGGGCATTGCCGCATCCGGCACACCCTGGACGCGTGTACCGCGGCGACGCCGGGCGCAACGTATTGTGCCCTGCGCCCCCGCGTTCCCCTCCCGCAAGGGAAGGGGCTGAGTGAGAAACAGGAAGGGGCTGCTACACAAGCAGCGGCAACCCTTGGTATGTGCTACCTGCAAGGGGCAGGGCGCCCGAGAGAAATGGGGCGCATATATGAGTGCCAACGCTCCAACGGGGCCAATCACGAGAAACACCCGTGACCGCCGACGCAGCGCCGGCCTCGGATCGGCCGGGTCAGATCCCGAGCACAGGCGACTGCCCTTCCCCAAGCAGAGAGAGGGACGCAGGCGAAAGGAGGGGAGGAGGACACACATACACACACACACACACACACACACACACACACGCATCAACGAGGACACAGGGGTCGTTTTTGCGTTCGATTGGGCAGAAAGAAAGGGTGCCGCGTCCAGTGGGATGACCAGGCACGGCCTCAGGATGGCCGCTGTGGGCGCTGGAGCGAGCGAGCGAAGGACTGTGCCACGATATCCGCTCCGCCGGGAAGAGCATCTGTGCGGTTGTGTATGGGAGAATTGTGGCCATCGACGCGGTGACGTATACGTGGGGGGGGGGGGACGCGAGCCAAGAGGGTCAGCAAAGGCATGGGTGTATGTGTATGCTTGTGCGAGATGTGTGGGTCAGGAGAAGGTGCCCCCCCCCCGGGATCTGGCAGCTCCAGCCCCACTGCCCCTCCCCCCGTCCGGCATTGCCCTCTCGCCATCCAGTGCGTGCCTGTTCGACTGGGCGAGGCGAAAACACCCCCGGGCGTGGCCATCGGACGATGGCCGCCGGAAATGGTCCCAGAGTGAGAAGCCGGGCTCAGGGACCCTGGGTCGCTGTGCGTGACCACCGGTCGGGAGGCCTGACTGGCCGCCGCGGTCAGGATGCTGGCCACTGTCGCGGGCGCCTGGCCCCCGTGCTCGGGTGGAGCGGCCTGCGAGGCCGGGGAAAGAGGAGAAAAGGGAGCAGCACCGCCGGTCGCCGGGATCGAGGCTGCCGGGCCATCGGGCCCAGGTGCCGGGGTAACTCGCTCGCGTGGAACATAGTGCTGGGCTGATGCCGAGGCGCCACCAGAGAAGACGGCCTGCTGGATGGCTCCACGAAAGCTCAGATCCCGACGAATGGAGTGGATCTGATCGATGGTGCCCTCCAAATCGCGGTGAACCTGAAAGCACATCAGTCAGCCGTGTGCGTTGGCCGGCAGGAAAAGCCAGAGGGAGGGCAGGGGCGGGGGCACGTACATCCTGTAGTCCAGCCTGATTGACAAAGCGGGTGAAGCCGCTGCGCCCGCGCACGACCATATTGACCACCGTGCCGACCGTGTAGCCGAGGACCCGGGCTGCTTGCGGGGCGCCAGTGGGGCCTTTTTGTGTTCATTTTCGCGCACACCATGATCGAGCAAGGGCATCAGTGGGGGGGGAGGGGTCCAATTCTACAGCAAGAGGCGACCAAGATGCCGGACCGCGGCGCACCGAGAACATAGAAGCCGGCCCCGCAGGCAATGAGGAGCGAGAGGATGGCCATCGTGGGCGAGAGGGCGAGAGGTCCAGGCCGGGGAGGGGAGGGAGAAGGGGGGGGGGGGAAGAATGGCAGAGGCTCTCACTGCACGGGCCAGCTCGCGCCCAAATCCGACAGGGGTGCCCCCTCAGACAAACGTTCCACCATCTTGTCGGCGGAGTGCAAGCATGTGTGAGTGTGTTGAATCGGCAGGGCTGGGGGGGGGGGGGGCGATCGGGATCCGGGAGGAAGGTGATACGTGGGCACCTCTCACAGCATGTGATGATGCATGCCACTTTTTGTGGCACCTGTTCGGGGTTCCTCCACCGAGTCCTACACAGCGGGGACCCTGACCGCGATTGGGGGTCGGCGTGTGGAGGGGGATTTAGAATACACATCTATCCGGCGGGCAGTAGGGCTGGCACCCCCCCACCCCCCCGGGCTCAGGAGGATGGGGGCGCGTCTGGGCCGGTGCGGTCTCGCTGGGTGGGGCGGAGGAGGGAGCTCTGCCCGGCCTGCTCGCACCTCGGGGAGGGGACCCTTCTCCCCCCGGACAAGAATGAAGGGGTCCAGGGCCCTTCGCTGGAGCGACGGACCGGCGCACGGCTGCTCAGGTCGTTGTCTCAGAGAGACCCGGCGCGCGCCGTGCATGCCCCGGGGCTGTTTGCCTGGGAGGCGGTGACAAGGCGCGCGTTCGAGGAAAGAGGGCCGCGTGAACTGTGCAAGCGTGGCGACCCCGGCACGAGAGGAGGGGTGGCCGAATGACCGCGGCACATTTCTGGCCACTATAAAAGAGACCCGGGCTGGTGCGATAGCCCCCAAGCACGCGCACATTCCCCTTCCCACGACCCATTTCGGGGGCTGGGCCCCTCCCCCCACACCCACCTGCACACGCCTCTCTACTTCCCGTGGCTTGGTGCGTGCGTGCTCGCGCACGTCCCTCTGTCCTGGGATTTTGCCGCGCGGTGGCGTAGGGGGCGTGCCCTCCCTTCCTCTCGTCCCTCGGGCCTGAGCGTGTTGGTCCCTCTGCGCGTGCGCGGCTTCACTGTCATGTCCGCCGCGGGCCCATCTTTCCGAGATGCCCTGCCATATGCCTTCCCCCCGTGCGCGCTCCAAGCCCATGCGTGTCAGGTACATATACATCCTCCCTCTCCCTGGTTGTGGCTCCCCCCCCCTCCAAGGCGGCGTGTTCCTTCTGATGTTTTTTCACAGTTTGTAGTCTAGATCCGCTTGCCTGACAGCTTGCGTTGATACGATGGGCTAAGACAATTCCTCGTTTCTGAAGACACCCCTCTCCCCTCCCTCTCCTCGCTCGCCCCTCCCCCCTCCCCTGGCTCCCGCTGACATGTCCCCTCCCTTTTTCTCTCCCTGTCCAGTGTATGTTGGTGCGCTGTCAGGCATGCGTACGCCAGTGCCGGGAGCCGTCGCCCTTGCCTCTTGTTCGCTGGGGCGATCGGCTGCCCGCGTGCTTCCTTCCTCCCCCCCTGAGTGGGGACAGGCCTCAGAGGTACACATGCATGCGCTCTTCCCCCCCTCGACCCCTTCCCGTCTCGCCATTCCTTTGCTTTCACTTTCTTTCTCAGGTATTGAGGATGAGGAACAAACATAATCGACTGAGAAACATGATCGATACCAACATGCACTACCATCTGCACTCTCTACCTTCCCCCCTCTTTCGCTCCTTCCTCCCCCTTCCCCTTCCTCCTGTCACTCACACTCGCCGCCTTCCTCCCTCCCTCCACCCTGTGCGCCCCCTTAGGCTCGGCAGTGGGTGATCCGCCCTCCTCCCTGTCGTCGCCCTGTGTGAGCAAGCAGCTCCTCTTCCATCGGTAAGTCTTTCGCGCCCTTTCCTCCCTCCCCCTGATGATCCTCTTGGGACGCGTGAGCTGTACTGATGAAAATCTACCCAGTTCTGCTTCTGAAGTGTCATTGAAGATACCCTTCTTACCATTTTCTGAACCCGCTCTCGCCCTCTTTTCCCCCCTCTCCCTGCATCTCTTCCCCACCACTCCTCTAACGCATCCTGCCCTCTCTCCTCCCCTCCAGTAGCCGGCTTTTTGCATTCGCCCAGTCGCACACATCGGTTGCCATTATCCCCCTAGAAAGATGCAAGGTGGCCCGGCGTGGGGCGGTGTGTGTGTGTGTGCGCGCGCGCGCGCCCCCCCCCGTGCCTGCTCTCTCTTGCTCCTTTTCTTGCCTCTGGCTTCCTGTGACTGTCCTCGTTTGCAACGAGAAATGCGCCTTCTTCCCTGGCCTTTCTCTTCTCCTCTTAAGAATTGAAACATTTTGCCTTCCGACGCGCTTTTTAAGACTGGTGGGGGGGGGGGCGGTGGCGAGAGGCATGCGAGGAGGGCAGGGGAGAGTCCTGAGCAGGAGCCAGTGCCTCCCTCGGGGGTGGACTTTTTTATGTCCCGACTGTGACTGGAGGTGTATGTGTCCAAACCCGAAGTGAGCCGCGTGTGGGTGGGAGGGGGGGGGGGGGTGGCGATTCATGTGCCGAGCGGATTGCCGTTGTGTGTGCTGCATGGTGCGCATCCACCTCGCCGCACACCCGGACGGATGGCTGTCCCCTCGCAGGAGAGGGCAGAGCAGGTGCCCTTGCTGGGGGGCGGGGGTGCCTCCTCCGGCGGGTGGTGGTCTGCGGTGGCCGGTTTTGAAGGGCGCCCCGCACGCTGGGCACCGCCACCATATTGTCGTCCCCTCGCCCATTTGTCGGCCCTCTCTTTTTTCCCCCCGCCTCTCCGTCGCCCCTTGGGCGGGCTGAAATGCGCCTTCTGCGTGGGATGCCCTGGTGCTTTAGCTTCAGAATCAAGCGTCCGCCGGGCGTGCCCCGGAGTGTCGGCGGACGCAGGCCCGCTCTTTCATGGGCACGCAACCCCCCCCCCCCCCCCGCCCAGGGGACCCGCCGCTTCTCTGATTCAAATCCTCCTGGCCCAGGGGTCCCAGAACCATCCATTGCGTGTCTGGCGCTGGCGGCAACGGGGTGGTGGTGATGGGGAGGGGGGGGGACGATCGGACCGGAGGGGACTGGCATGATCGGCCGTCAGATCTGCCCATGTCCCGGTCCTGCGCCCCGTCCGCTCGGGCTCTAGCCAATATCACGTCCCCCCCCCC